GGGCTGCAGTTGTGGGAGCAACTGTAGTTGGGGCTGCAGTTGTGGGAGCAGCTGTAGTTGGGGCTGCAGTTGTTGTAGCAGCTGTAGTTGGGGCCGCAGTTGTGGGAGCAGCTGTAGTTGGGGCCTGAGTTGTGGGAGCAGCAGTAGTTGGGGCCATAGTTGTGGGAGCAGCTGTAGTTGGGGCTGCAGTTGTTGTAGCAGCTGTAGTTGGGGCCGCAGTTGTGGGAGCAGCTGTAGTTGGGGCATGAGTTGTGGGAGCAGCAGTAGTTGGGGCCATAGTTGTGGGAGCAACTGTAGTTGGGGCCGCAGTTGTGGGAGCAGCTGTAGTTGGGGCCACAGTTGTGGGAGCAGCTGTAGTTGGGGCTGCAGTTGTTGGAGCAGCTGTAGTTGGGGCCGCAGTTGTGGGAGCAGCAGTAGTTGGGGCCATAGTAGTTGGAGCAGCTGTAGTTGGGGCCACAGTTGTGGGAGCAGCTGTAGTTGGGGCCGCAGTTGTGGGAGCAGCTGTAGTTGGGGCCACAGTTGTGGGAGCAACTGTAGTTGGGGCTGCAGTTGTTTGAGCAGCTGTAGTTGGGGCTGTAGTTTTGGGAGCAGCAGTAGTTGGGGCTGCAGTAGTTGGGACTGCAGTTGTCTGAGCGGCTCTAGTTGGGGCTGTAGTTGTGGGAGCAGCAGAAGTTGGGGCTGTAGTTGTGGGAGCAGCAGTAGTTGGGGCTGCAGTTGTCTGAGCAGCTGTAGTGGAAGCAGCTGTTGTTGGAGCTGCAGTAGTTGAAGCGGCAGTAGTTGGGGCTGCAGTTGTTGGAGCAACTGTAGTTGGGGCCACAGTTGTGGGAGCAGCTGTAGTTGGAGCGGCAGTAGTTGGGGCTGCAGTAGTTGGAGCAACTGTAGTTGGGGCCACAGTTGTGGGAGCAGCTGTAGTTGGGGCCACATTTGTGGGAGCAGCTGTAGTTGGGGCCACAGTTGTGGGAGCAGCTGTAGTTGGGGCCGCAGTTGTGGGAGCAGCTGTAGTTGGGGCCACAGTTGTGGGAGCAACTGTAGTTGGGGCTGCAGTTGTTTGAGCAGCTGTAGTTGGGGCTGTAGTTTTGGGAGCAGCAGTAGTTGGGGCTGCAGTTGTCTGAGCGGCTCTAGTTGGGGCTGTAGTTGTGGGAGCAGCTGTAGTTGGAGCGGCAGTTGTTGGAGCAACTGTAGTTGGGGCCGCAGTTGTGGGAGCAGCTGTAGTTGGAGCAGCAGTAGTGGGAGCAGCAGTAGTTGGGGCCACAGTTGTGGGAGCAGCAGTAGTTGGGGCTGCAGTTGTTGGAGCAACTGTAGTTGGGGCTGCAGTTGTGGGAGCAGCTGTAGTTGGGGCTGCAGTTGTTGTAGCAGCTGTAGTTGGGGCCGCAGTTGTGGGAGCAGCTGTAGTTGGGGCCGCAGTTGTGGGAGCAGCTGTAGTTGGGGCCACAGTTGTGGGAGCAGCTGTAGTTGGGGCCACAGTTGTTGGAGCAGCTGTAGTTGGGGCCACAGTTGTTGGAGCAGCTGTAGTTGGGTCCACAGTTGTGGGAGCAGCTGTAGTTGGGGCCACAGTTGTGTGAGCAGCTGTAGTTGGGGCCGCAGTTGTGGGAGCCGCAGTTGTGGGAGCAGCAGTAGTTGGGGCCACAGTTGTGGGAGCAGCTGTAGTTGGGGTCGCAGTTGTTGGAGAAGCTGTAGTTGGGGCCGCAGTTGTGGGAGCCGCAGTTGTGGGAGCAGCAGTAGTTGGGGCCACAGTTGTGGGAGCAGCTGTAGTTGGGGTCGCAGTTGTTGGAGAAGCTGTAGTTGGGGCCACAGTTGTGGGAGCAGCTGTAGTTGGGGCTGCAGTTGTGGGAGCAACTGTAGTTGGGGCCACAGTTGTGGGAGCAGCTGTAGTTGGGGCCGCAGTTGTTGGAGCAGCTGTAGTTGGGGCCACAGTTGTTGGTGCAGCTGTAGTTGGGGCCACAGTTGTGGGAGCAGCTGTAGTTGGGGCCACAGTTGTGTGAGCAGCTGTAGTTGGGGCCGCAGTTGTGGGAGCAGCAGTAGTTGGGGCCACAGTTGTGGGAGCAGCTGTAGTTGGGGCCGCAGTTGTTGGAGCAGCTGTAGTTGGGGCCACAGTTGTGGGAGCAGCTGTAGTTGGGGCCACAGTAGTGGAAGCAGCTGTTGTTGGAGCTGCAGTAGTTGAAGCGGCAGTAGTTGGGGCTGCAGTTGTTGGAGCAACTGTAGTTGGGGCCACAGTTGTGGGAGCAGCTGTAGTTGGAGCGGCAGTAGTTGGGGCTGCAGTAGTTGGAGCAACTGTAGTTGGGGCCACAGTTGTGGGAGCAGCTGTAGTTGGGGCCACAGTTGTGGGAGCAGCTGTAGTTGGGGCCACAGTTGTGGGAGCAGCTGTAGTTGGGGCCGCAGTTGTGGGAGCAGCTGTAGTTGGGCCACAGTTGTGGGAGCAACTGTAGTTGGGGCTGCAGTTGTTTGAGCAGCTGTAGTTGGGGCTGTAGTTTTGGGAGCAGCAGTAGTTGGGGCTGCAGTAGTTGGGACTGCAGTTGTCTGAGCGGCTCTAGTTGGGGCTGTAGTTGTGGGAGCAGCAGTAGTTGGGGCTGCAGTAGTTGGGACTGCAGTTGTTTGAGCAGCTGTAGTTGGGGCTGTAGTTGTGGGAGCAGCAGTAGTTGGGGCTGCAGTTGTCTGAGCAGCTGTAGTGGAAGCAGCTGTTGTTGGAGCTGCAGTAGTTGAAGCGGCAGTAGTTGGGGCTGCAGTTGTTGGAGCAACTGTAGTTGGGGCCACAGTTGTGGGAGCAGCTGTAGTTGGAGCGGCAGTTGTTGGAGCAACTGTAGTTGGGGCCGCAGTTGTGGGAGCAGCTGTAGTTGGAGCAGCAGTAGTGGGACCAGCAGTAGTTGGGACCAGAGTTGTTGGAGCAGCAGTAGTTGGGGCTGCAGTTGTTGGAGCAACTGTAGTTGGGGCTGCAGTTGTGGGAGCAGCTGTAGTTGGGGCTGCAGTTGTGGGAGCAGCTGTAGTTGGGGCCGCAGTTGTTGGAGCAGCTGTAGTTGGGGCCACAGTTGTGGGAGCAGCTGTAGTTGGGGCCACAGTTGTGTGAGCAGCTGTAGTTGGGGCCGCAGTTGTGGGAGCAGCAGTAGTTGGGGCCACAGTTGTGGGAGCAGCTGTAGTTGGGGCCGCAGTTGTTGGAGCAGCTGTAGTTGGGGCCACAGTTGTGGGAGCAGCTGTAGTTGGGGCCACAGTTGTGGGAGCAGCTGTAGTTGGGGCCACAGTTGTGGGAGCAGCTGTAGTTGGAGCGGCAGTAGTTGGGGCTGCAGTAGTTGGAGCAGCTGTAGTTGGGGCCACAGTTGTGGGAGCAGCTGTAGTTGGAGCGGCAGTAGTTGGGGCCGCAGTTGTGGGAGCAACTGTAGTTGGGGCTGCAGTTGTTGTAGCAGCTGTAGTTGGGGCCACAGTTGTGGGAGCAGCTGTAGTTGGGGCCACAGTTGTTGGAGCAGCTGTAGTTGGGGCCACAGTTGTTGGAGCAGCTGTAGTTGGGGCCACAGTTGTGTGAGCAGCTGTAGTTGGGGCCGCAGTTGTGGGAGCAGCTGTAGTTGGGGCCACAGTTGTGGGAGCAGCTGTAGTTGGGGCCACAGTTGTGGGAGCAGCTGTAGTTGGGGCCGCAGTTGTGGGAGCAGCTGTAGTTGGGGCCGCAGTTGTTGGAGCAGCTGTAGTTGGGGCCACAGTTGTGGGAGCAGCTGTAGTTGGGGCCACAGTTGTGGGAGCAGCTGTAGTTGGGGTTGCAGTTGTGGGAGCAGCTGTAGTTGGGGCTGCAGTTGTTGGAGCAACTGTAGTTGGGGCTGCAGTAGTTGGGGCTGCAATTGTTGCAGCAGCACTTGGGGACCCAGTTGATGGATTAGTTGGTGCGTCAATGGGTGCAAAAGTTGGTGCGTCTGTTGGTGCATCAGTTGGTGCGTCTGTGGGCGCATCAGTCTGTGCAAAAGTTGTTGGTTTATCAGTTCGTGCAGCAGTTGTCGGTGCAGCATTGTTTGTCACAGATGGCGTGGTGGCAGACAGAGAAAGGTCCACCCTGCTGGCAGCAACTAAATTGAAATTAGAGGAAAAATAAAAATGATATATGGATTAGAGCAGATTCCAGGAAGCTACTGTCGGTCTAATGATCTGGTTTAATTACCGCAATGAACCTAAAATAAGCAAATTCTGCGCTGAACTGATTTGAATAGAAGTAACGAATGCTAATGTTGGTTATTTTTACTTTGTTTTTATCATTTATTTGTATTATATTTATGAACATAACTATTGAATTGATTTTTTTTTTTTTTTTTTAAATGATCTTGTGTTTTTCATTTGATTTTATTATGTGTTCGTCACAGAGTTGGGAGAAGTACTGCGATCTTGTAATTGAGTAAAAGTAGAAGTACTCAGATCTTGTACTTGAGTAAAAGTAGAAGTACCAGAGTGTAGGAATACTCTGTTACAGTAAAAGTCCAGCATTCAAAATGTT